GGTGAAAGAAAGGAATAGACATATACCAAATGCATGTATAAATAAGCTCCTGATGTTTGCCTTTACATGATGAGAGCACACTGTCAATCATAAAACAAAGAATCCTTTTCAATATGAGAAGAATCATGGCCGACCATGGCATCCTCCTCAACGAATACATGCCCTTCTGTTTAAAGATTTTTAAAAGTACAGAGAGTTGCTAGCTTTGACATGGATGGAGGAATAAAGATTAGTAAGTTTAGTTACTTTAACTTAGGTGGAAGCTTGCATTTTTCTCCCACATAATGATGGCCGACCAGAGCACATTTTATGAAACTTAGAAACCATATAGAGTTTTTGAAATTTTCTTGGTGGGGTTGTCATGTTCATTACACGCTCAAGAAAGCCACCAAAAAGAAAACAGTCTAAAAGATATTGTGTCACTTAAAGTAGGGGAGAGGTGGGTCTAGCTAGGAGGACCCTTTTCTCCAAAGAAACCCATTACATAGAACAAAGAGGGAGGGGTCACTCATTTCTCTTTCTCCCTTTCCAACCTAAGCCAAAACCAATGAGAAGATGTTAAGTTTGTCCTCAACAGTGGCTAAGGAGAGATCCATCAACATGGCCTACAATAGACCACATGGGCTTTCTAGTAAACAAAGAAGAAATGTTAAAGAAACCTATTACATGGAACAAAGATGGAGGGGTCACTCATGGGGTCACCCCTCTCTCTCTCTCTCTCTCTCTCCCCAAAGCCAAGACCAATAGAAATCCATCGATATGGCCTACAATAGACCCTATGGCTTTTGTAGTAAACAAAGAAGTAATTGTTTGTGCAACTTTGGTTGAGTTGGAAGTCATAAGTAAGCTTGCGAAAATTAAACAAGAATCCATTACCTAACCTAACGAAGACTCCCTTTTAGATAAGATGGGTGGTCTCACATCGTCCTTGATTAGTGTAATCTTTGTCAAAAATTTGAGAATAAATAAAATGGTGGAGAAACCGAAAAACAGAACTAAGGATTTTGAGCTTCAAACTAATTAATTAGCAATTCCAGGCTGAGTAACATTTCAAAGTTATCAAAGATTAAAGGAAAGGGATGGATTACTTCAGTGATGTTAATGGTTGTTAGTCTATTTAATCATAATCAAGACAGTAATCAATATTAGTGTCTTGTTGTGTATTTCACATGAAATTTGACTCTTCAAATTTAGGCATAATTAACTTAGTGGGGCTGAAAACAGCCAAAAGAAAGATTTTATATGTAATAAAGTGGTGGATTACTTCAACTTAGGGATATAGATTCAATCATGTGAGTCAATAGGGCCCATAAAACCACCTTAACTGACTTGATTGGTATCTTGGTGAGTACAGGAATAATTGAACAATGTTACAAGGAGCAAGACAAAAACCCCTGGCCGATAAAAGGAACAAGGCCACATGTCTTTGAACAAAAGAACCCTAACAGATGAACATTCCTCAACAGTAAGAACCAACTCCCTTGCCACAAAAGAAAAAAAACACACAGACAGATTCTCTTCAATTTGTTTCAGCTGAGGAATTATTAATAAAATCAGATTTTTGTGGACCCACTTTACAATTGATGAAATTATCTTGGACATCCAATCCAAAACAATAAACAAGATCAGATGGTTATTATTATCCGACCTGCAAACTGTAGCTGAAAACTGAATCTCAGTTTTATCAGATGCAGGGCTCAAGTAGCAAAGAGTGCAATTGGGTATATTGGAAGTGAGCTACTGCTCAAGCATTCTGCAAATAAGCAGGTGAAGAGATTAACTCAGTCCAGATGCTTATGTGGGCCCGGTTGAAAAATGTAACCAAAGCTGTAAAAGCAGGTTTTGCAGGGCCTCAAGGGGATTGAACTCATTGAAGGGTCAGGTCAAGGGTTGAGTCCTCATGCTGGGGGCCTGGGGCAATCTTAGCAGTTTATTTTGTAGATATTGAGAGATTTAGGTTGATATTAGACATTTAAGGTCCTTTCACCCACATGAAGCAGACCATGTCAATGTGGCATTGTAGATTGTGCAGTAGTCTAGTAGGCTTATTAATGAGAGAGAGATGTAAATCAGAAGATGATAAAAGTAATCACGGGTATTTAGGTTGTTAAATACTCCCTTAAACAATTAGAATGATAGCATTGATACCTTAGAATCTCTTGTTTGATGGATTTAAGAAACTGTGGGACATGGAAACCTATTAGAAAAGTCTTTGCCAGTCTACAAGTGAAAATTTTCTGGGTTTGTCATAATCATTACACTGATTTAATAACCCAACCTACTACAAGTGTTTTAGGAATATCTATCTAAATGCCTTCTTTAGGGATTTGGATGAGCTCTGATGGATACTTTCTCTGGGGAGGGACAAATCAGGTCCTTCTCAGGCCAAAACTACTGGGTTTGGACTTTTTTACTTGAGGGATATTGGTAAAGTACAGATTACAGAAGTCTTCTGTCTCAATTCACAAAGCCCACATTCTCATCCATAGAAGTAGAACCTCAATCAACCCATAAACCCCTCCCCCTAAGAAATCCAAATCTAGTGATTTTAGGCTAAGGAGGACAGTCTGTGTTGTAGTTTGGACTTTGGAAAGAGGAAAAGTGACCATAGAGTTAATCATTCTATTAGCCATTAATCTAATTCAATATAGTTTTGTTGTAACGAAACCCAACACAGTTTGTTTCATCAAAATGAAAGCCTAAATAAAATAAGGCCACAAAATGATTTAAGAAAACCTAACCAAATGAGTGTAAAGGAATTCTTTTTCCTTGATTCGAGGGAATTGTGGCTTTGGCCCCTAGTGGAGACTTGGAACCCCGTAGGCCAAGTACAAATACAAGGCTCAAGGAGACTAGCTAGCAGGCACATAACAAGTGGCAACATTTGGATCTATTGTGGGTCCCACTGGCTAGATGAGAATCCTTCCCCTAGTTGGGCCAATGGGCCGTGCAGGTTAGGTTGTTATTGAGCATAGCTTAACCAACTGTTTCTAGCTGGCATCTTTTCGGTATCAATTAAAATTTGGATTACGATTTGTGAAGCAAAAGCTCTGTTTCAAGCCCAACTCACATTTATGATCTCAAGCATAGCATGTGCTTTCCCCCCAAGAAAATAAATGGTGGAACCAACTGTTGAAACATCAAAGAAATGGGATCAAGCTCTTAGATATGTCTCCTCCATTTCATGCAACTACTAGAGTAACCAAAGATCAAGACTCTCTCTCTCTCTCTCTCTCTAGTTAAACAACTCAAACGCTTATTAAGAGAAGAGAATTGGGTATTCAAGTGTCCTATTCTTGAGTAGTAATTTTATTACATTATCTCTTCTCATCATCAGAAACAGGGGTGCCCAAATCACTACCTAAAAGACAGGGAATTTCGTATTTGGATTTTGGAATCTTCTACTTTAGGTTTTTTGTCAGTTCCTGATGGCAAAGGGAAGAAACAAAACTGAGTGGAGAATCCTCTGTCAAGAATATTTGTTCTGTTTTGGTAAACTGAACACCCTCTTACCCTCCAACTCCAAGGAATGAAGTTGGATTGGCCAGAATACACAAATAAAGGAATCAAATTCCAATTCCCTCAAGGCATAAGCAAAAGCACAACTCACCACCAAGAAAGCTCAAGGCATTATGGGTTCTCTCTTTTCCTTTTGTTTTTTGCTTCAACTTATTGCTATCTTTTAGTAGGTTAATTATTGAAGAATTTTCAATCAGTAACGCCTAATTGAATAAAAACAAACAAATCCTTGAGTTCATGACCTGCTTAACTAAACCAAACCCCACCAAATTCCAAACAAATCCCAATTAGAAGGAACAAACTCAGACCCAAAAACTCAATCAGAAGGAACAAATTTACATCTCACTTAACTACAAGGAACAAAATAACACCCCATTTGTCTAATACATTACAACTAAAAAGCCATTTGAGATCTCTATGATCAGAGTATCAGACCTCTGTTTTTTTATATATTTCGTTTTAATGCAAACACGTGCCGCTGCCTACTAATTATTTGAAAAAAAAAAAAAAACTATTAGAAACAACAACGATAGCAATATTAAAAATAGAAATATTGGGACTATAAAGCAATAAAGGAAGAATTAAATGGCCTTAAAAAACTATAGTAACGGACCCCCCACCCCTCACACAGTACACCATGGAGACCCTTGGATTAATAGCGAAACCCATGTGACGGCCCCACAACTTTACTTTGACATTTTTGCCCTCGTATGTCCTACAACCACACACGTATAAATTCAATATATTTATTATACGCATAATTTAGTAAATCGGGAAGGATCATATTTAGCTTAATATCTTATTTGTATGAAACGTAAAATCTCAAAATCTGTCTCCGTCCAAAAATCAATGTCAAAAAAAATTAAAAAAAAAAAAAAAACATTCCAATGCTTATTTGACAGTTTTGCCCTCATGTATCCTCTCACCTCACACGTGTAAATTCAATATACGAATATTTTAGTAAATTTAATATACGGCTCCGGAGGATCGGGTTTACCCTAATGCCGTATAGCCCGTATGGATACAAATGGTAAAATCCCAAAATCCGTTTCCCAAACGAAAAAAACCCTCTCCAGGCCTCCATCCCAATTTGACATTTCTGCCCTCGTGCGTCCTGCCACCTCACACGTGTACATCCTCCTCTTTAACCAACTCACCGGAACTAAAAAGCCCCAAAATTGGGAATCATTGTAGCATACCCTCAACTCCTCACACCTATCATACACCGGATCCGTCCAATGATTTAAGATCATAATTTTAGCCAATCCGCGTCATCATAACGGTTCAATCAGTTAAGCAGGTCCGATCAGACGGTTTAGACAGTCAGTCATGGGTCCCACTATCACAGGTGGCGCCACCTAGAAGCCAGTTGTAGAATAAGTTCCAATGGTGACGGGACTAGCGAACATTTGCCATTAAAATACTTTTATTATGGAAAAGCCAGAAAAAACAGAAAAAGAAAATAAATAGAAACCCAGTAACGAGAGAGACCTCAAATCAAAACCACCTCCTTTCCTTCCCTCCCTTCTCTGAGAGAGTCTTTCTACATCTTCATCGTCGCTCGAGTCTCTCTCCATCGCTGTCGCAATGGAGACAAGTCCGCCGGAGCTGGACCTCGACAAGTTGAGAGCGATAAGGGTAGTGGGCAGAGGAGCCATGGGCACCGTCTTCTTAGCTTACGAAAAGGAAGCAGACCCGTCTGCGCACCACCCTTTCGCGCTCAAAGTCGTGGAGAAATGCAGCTTCCACTGCAAATTCGACGCTGATCGACGTGCCCGTTGGGAGGTTTCAGTTCTTTCCCGTCTCAACCACCCTTTCCTTCCAACCCTCCTCGGCAGCCTCGAGACGGACGAGTTCTTAGCCTGGGCTGTCCCTTACTGTCCCGGCGGTGACCTCAATGTTCTCCGCTACCACCAGACCGACCGCGTGTTCTCACCCACCGTCATACGCTTCTACGTCGCCGAAATCGTATGCGCTCTGGAGCATCTCCATGGTATGAATATCGTATACCGCGACCTCAAGCCCGAGAACGTACTGATACAGCAATCCGGCCATGTCACCCTCACCGACTTCGACCTCTCCCGGACTCTAAACCCCAGAAAGCCGAAGCCAACAAACACGCCAGATTTCGTGGAGGTGGTGGTTCCTGATGCTAGGCCCAAGCATCGACGGAATTTGACTCGCCTCGTGTCTGTAATGACAGAGAAAGGGTTGAAGAAAGTAAGGTCAGCCCGTGTTTCTCCGGTGAGCCGCCGGAAACCAAGCTTCTCCAATGGAGAACGGTCCAACTCGTTCGTGGGCACAGAAGAGTACGTATCGCCCGAGGTCGTAAGAGGTGACGGGCACGAGTTCGCCGTCGATTGGTGGGCACTCGGGATTTTGACGTACGAGATGATGTATGGGAAAACCCCATTTCGGGGGAAGAACCGAAAGGAAACGTTTCGTAACGTACTGATGAAATCCCCTGAGTTCATCGGCAGACGAACAGCTCTAACGGATTTGATCAGACGGTTGCTAGAGAAAGACCCTACTCGACGTTTAGGATATAACAGGGGTGCGGTGGAAATCAAAGAGCATGCCTTCTTTCGCGGGTTAAGGTGGGACCTGCTAACGGAGGTGTCACGGCCACCGTTTCTGGCGTTAATGGAGGAGGAGGAGGAGGAGGAGGAGGAGGACTCACGACCGGAGCAAATGCCGGCGACCACCATTGACATTAGGGATTACTTCCTGAACCTAAGAGCGCCACGGTCAGTGCCTCCGTCGCCATCGTCGGAGTGCCGGAAAGAAGCGTCGTTGGCCGAGTTCTAACCCCTACAAGTGTAAAAGTTAGTTATCTTCTCCGGTTTGTACATAGAACAAGAAAAAGAGCAAACTGAGCAAGTACAACCCCCCCACGGCCACGACTCACGAACGTGAGTAATTGATGTTAGGGAGAGTTTGGCTTTGGCTGTGTTAATGTTGCATTAAAAAAGCTCTCTTTGTACTTTTTTACTTTTTAGTTTTAATCCTCCTCCAACTCTTTTAACTCCTACCCTCTGTCTTAATCACAACCACATATCCGGAATATTATACGTTGTGTAATCACCACTAATCACACTCATAAGTGGGACCCACAGTGGGACGTATGTGTGTGCGATATATTTTCGATCTACCTATACGCATCTAACATTTTGCATGGATACATGCATCGTATGCCACGTGTATCTGGTATCTGCCCCAGGCTTAGAAGTTAGAACAAGAGGGTCGTACCGCTGGCACTTTCTTTGAGCTCTGGGGTAAGGCTACAGTGAGACATCGGGGTAGGACAGCTTAGGGTGGGTGAAATAGAGAAGAGAAGAGAACTTTTAGAACTACGTAGTACGTACTACTCTGAATTCAGGGCTAGGTAGAGGCGATCTGGCGCTTAGCGATACACCAAAACTGGGTGGAGCCCAGCTCATGCCTGACGATCGGCAGCTTTATCGAACGGTAAAAAGGTGGCAACGCACACTTACATCTTAATCCTATCTTACCTTTAACGGCAAAAGAGGTCGTCCCCACACCCCCACATTTCACGCGCAGGCAGGACGGTAAGTCCCCCTTTTTAATCCACCGAGAGTCCGGGACCATCTTCACATAAGCTCGACCCTCATCAGAAGACGCCTCAGTGTAACTTTAGATCTTGCACCGTTGGATCCTGGCCCACTGTGGAGCGTCCATTTGGAATCACTCCTCAGCCATGCACACTTAAAATGCAAGCCGTTGGATGAGGGAATAATGACGCTATTATGGGACATATATTGCATCATAATTCCACATCCAACAGCGCATGATTTCTCTCCCTGGGGCTGGTCCCACCGCACCAGTTCCGGTTCCATACTTCCATTCCACCAAAGGAAAGAAAAGTAGGAAAAGTAGTAAATCGAGAAATGATCCAATGAGGCGACCGGCTCAGACCAAAGTTTAAAACAGCTAAGACTGAACTGATGAGTTATTTTCTCCGTGCAGTGCAGACTGCAAACACAGCAGCGCCACGCCAAATGATTTAAATCAATTCAACCGGGCAAGCAACCTGAACCAGTGTTGTCAGACCCGGATCGGATGGTCAAACCGTTAAACCGGTGACTCAGAGGGCCCACTTTTGCATGCCAATCAAATGGTTAAGATCGAGGCAATCATGTGGCCGGGAGGGGCCCATTCAGGGCTTACTGAAGCACAGACCATAACGACTTTCAGCAGTTCTACACTTCTACTCCCAAGGTCCAAAAGGGGGAGACTGTTTTTAGTCCCTAGTGCCAACGGATTCGTTGCATAAAATAAAATAGGTGGAGGCCCCCATCTGATGACTGGTCTCATTCCAACGCGAATTCGCCAGTTTTCTCCAGCAGAGAGAGAAAGAGTCTCTGAGCATCGAAAAATTGTCTGGCTCAACCAGGGAATAGAATCAGGGAATCGGGTATTATATCTCAGTGATTGATGATTGTCAAAGAATTACATCTCTCTCGTGACTCCGCTTTGCCACTGTTTGATGATGCCCCACAGCCGCTACCAACCAAAAGCTTCTGTTGTCTTCCTCCTTACTGTTGCAAGTGTGAAGCAATGTATTGGGCCTTGAAACCTCACAGCAGAGCAGACAACTTGAATCTGATCAAGGCATAAGACCCAAAGGGAAGGCTGGGCCTTGGCGCCTTGCATTTCCCTGATGGGTAACAACAGACGTCCCCACCAGCCTGTCTGCATTCATATCTTGCTAGTTGCTCCTCCTTTTATGACACCCACCCTCTCTCATTTCATCTAATATCCCTCCCAATTCCCCTGATTTCAGAGGTACAAAAAAGGGGGTTAAAAGGTACCCATGTGCATTTCTTCCTCCCTGCACGTATTCGGCTAATTCCGGCCACGTATCGAAAGCCGGTCGTGTATACACTCCCCTGGAAGGGGTGGTCCACCATGTTATGGTTTGCTGAATCTCCGACGTCTTGTGTATGTCGATGCCCCCCTAACACTGTTGAGCTTGTTCCACCATCAATTCTGCCTCTTCCCCAGTAGCTACATACAACAACTAGGTGCCTCCACAATTAAAGCCAAAAGCCAACCGGATGGATGGACTAGAGATCATCACACGCATCACCAGACAAGAACCATTCCCAACTGCCCTACCACCACGCTTGCTTCCGCAATGCAATGCTCCCCGTTTGACAACCTATGCTTGGAACCTTGACTTGACATTTACGTAACCGAAACCTGATCCCACTGCAATTATCGCATACTGAATTGATTAATGCCTGTGAATAAACTATGACCAAGAACAGAGATCGATCCTAGCAAACAAGTCGCAGATCATTAGTTGGATTTCTACTTGGGGGGTACTTAAAAAAGATTGATAACAAGTAAATAACCATATCTTAAATATTTTAGGCACCGTTGGATTAGTCAAAGGCGTCCAGCAAAATCAATATTCTGCTGGGGAACAGTTCTCATTCAGCACTGGAATTTCAGCAACCAATTTACATGAAAATCAGAAAATGTACTGCATATTTGCATGTTAAATATCACGAGGCCCAAGATCATTTAATTCCAGGTGTGTTCTAGTTGGGTTCCCTGCCTTTGAACAAACTGACAACTCAAAATTAACAGATAGATACAAATTCAAGAGCAGGGAACACTAACATTTACTTAGCAGGGTTGGTAATTAAAGGGATTATTAGATATAGACTAAGCCCCATCTGGCTGGACAAAGGGATTGGCTATCTCGTCTGTACCATCTGTTGGGGATACAAGCATCACCGCTGTTCCCCTACATACCTGCAATAAATTTAGCAGTCAGTGCAGTAATCGATGACAAAATCCTTGCTAACATGAATTTTCCATTCATTGTGTTCGTGTGTGTGAGTATGGAAATGAGCAACCATAGGGATGTGTTTAAAGTTTTTTTTTTTATATCTGGATGTGTTTAAAGTTTTAGTGACTGCTTTGCTTCAGGGAAGGCTGAAAACTGAATGCTGTCTGAGTTCCCAAGAAACCACATTTCTGCTTTCTTTCACAATATACATTTCAGATATGACTGAATGCCATCTGATTAATAAAGTCTTATAGAAATAGTTGATAACTAATGCTCTTCACTGAACTATTCCTTTAATGGTGGGTTTTCTGTAATGTTCCTTAAACATCTCTCTCTCTTGCTTTTTTGCATATTTTTAGATTTTTTCATCATTAACAAAAAATATTTCTTCTTCACACTTATTTTTGTCTTACATAATGAATATATAATATTAGAAATATGCTAATTTTTTTCTGTAAAAGTTCTGTATTTTCTGATATTTTTTAAAACTTTATCTATTTATTATTTAATGACATCCATAGGTTGATCTATTTGACCCAAATGGTTGAACCACTAACCCAACACGGCAACACCTAGACAGAAATATGGTCCCATTCCAGATTGGTCTTAAAAATACTGCTAGGAAGGGTTTTTTTTCATGTGATACAAGTCTCCCCCTCCTTTCCCACTTTTTAACACCAAAATGGTGTGATTCCACTAAAGAATTGAGAAATGTAATCCTAGCTTTTTCCCATGTCATCTCATGGCATAACACAAACCAAACATGGGAAGGGAAGAATATTCAAGAGTAATCCTTGTTCTCTTCCCATCCCACAAACCAAACAAAGCCTAAGTTTTATGCAGCACTTTTGATGGCTAAGTTTAAGCCAAGCAAAAGTCTTTGTGGTTTACCATCATTTTTAACTTGTGGGTCTGTCTGGTTGTTGATTCTATGGGGCTTTGGTTCATTGATAATTGGCAATCCCATGGGTCCCGATTCACTAACAGCAAACAGAATCACACACTAAACATGTGGGTAATTTGAACCACCGTGTGAATAATTGGAAAAAGGAAGGGGTTTTCTAAAGCACTTTCTGTCAAAGCTAAAATATCCAATGGAGGGGAAAAAACAACTGCCAACATTTCCTACAAGGGAAAACATTGAAGAGCCAATGGTTCTACAAAAGGAAATTTGGTTTGATCTAACATTAAGGAATCCAAAACCTTCAGCATGGTACTACAAGAAAGGGGCTGAAGTTGTTTTCCAAGAGTGTTTCCCAGTTCTTGACCAGTCTATGATTGATGTTCTACAAGATGGCATAATGTAGTGGAGCAATGAAACTAGTTAAAGTTGCAGACAAGGCTTCAAACCAAGATGTGAATATGTCGATAACCACTATGAAGATTTACCAAGTAATGGAACAATCGATATTAACCTAAAAAAGGTGATGAATCAATTAAAAAGGAAAAAGAAGTTTTAGATCTACAAGGAAAAAGACTCAAATCAACAAAATAATGGATATGGTGTACATTGTCATTTAGGAGTGCATTGTTTTGAATATCTTTTCCTGGTTATGTTACAGCCACAGTTTATATTGAACTTTCCTATGAACCATTTTTGAAACTCCTAGCATCATTCTTCAACCAAACTCAGGAAGCAAGCCAGTTTTCATCAGGCAGGGATCAGATACCAACAAAACTCTACCAACCCGTCCCAACAATCCACTGTAGCCCCACTTTGGGAACATCTCCCTTGTCATTCATGGGAAGATGTTCCCGATGTACAGCTGCAATGGCTGGCTGGGACATTGTTGGCACCCTGTGTTGGTAGCAGATCCAAACTCGCTTTCATCCTTAAAAGTTCTTTAAAACTTGAGGATGAATTCTTACCATCCAGGGATGAATTATGTGGTGCTAGAGGCTAAGGGAAGCCAATCACATACCTTTTTCTAGGCCAACATGGTCCTTCCTGTAGCTCTCATGAATCAAGACCAGCCAGCAATTAGGTATTCACAAATCCATATGAACCTAGGCCTATTCACTGGGCCCACAAAGTTGCTCCACCAAGCCTTAAGCCTAATAACAAGTCAATGATTGGAGCTAAGTTCCAAAAAAATGGGCTAATTTCTAAAAGCCCAATAGGTTAGATATCAATTCAAATGGACCCACACAATATGGATTTAATTCTCTCGATCAAATCTTTGATTGGATTTCAGTACATGCTGAACCATTGTTCTAAAAGGCTTAAGCCTTGAAGTGTGAGCCGTATGCCAAGAAGCAAGGCGCACAGATTCTGCCTCAAGGCTTAAGCCTCACAATTTTGATGTGAGGCTTAAGCCTTTGTTAGAATGAGGTGTAAGCCTCAAGCCTCAAGGCGTGAGGTGTATCCTGAGGCATAAAAAAGGCATAAGGCTCAAGTATCAATGATTACTTAGTGTAATGTCCCAATTTTGTTATTTTTCTCATTTTATCAAATCAACTAAGTTGTTTCCATTCTTCTAAATTGGTTTTTTACATGAAATGTAAAATGTTTATAATTGTTAGTTTATTAGTTATTATTTTATTTAATTCTTAAATGCTGAAAATTATTGCTTATAAACTTCTAGTTTATGGATTTGTGTACTTTATATCATTTTAATTTGGCATATTATATGTTATTTTCATCAATTTACAAACTTTAATTATTTTTTTCCTTAAACTTTGTGGCTTACGCCTTGAGGCTTATGCCTCACCTTTTTGGGCCATTACGCCACAACTACACCTTTAGCCTTTTTAAAACCTTGTGCTGAACAATGACATTAAATTGGCATGAACTTTAAAACAACATTAAGGTGACTTGGACCTGTGACCTATTTCTTAGATATGAATATATGATGATATGCTACCATTGATCTATTACATTGTTTGTGTTTATTCTGTCTCATTAATATTTATATTGATTAGATACATATATTTTTGAATAAAATGTAAATTAGAAGACTTGAACCCTAGTCACTTAGTATCAAAAGTTAAGAAATAGACCATCTAACCACTGCTTACATATGTTATAAAATACAATATATAGTACAGGTATTACCAATACAGGCTTCCCAAAGAGAGGTGAGGTGCAAATTCTCTCAATCAGCAAAAAAAGCAAAAACAATTACGTCCGCACCCAATACATTTATGCCCTAGTAACCCCTTGCTTAGCTAGAGTATTGGCAAAAGCATTGGCTCTCCTCACCCACTGAATTCTCAAGGCCACGTTTCTCCTTTCTCGTAAGCCATTTAAATTTCTTCATCTCATTTCTGTAACCCCAAATTACAGCTTTCGGTTCCTTTAACCATCCCACCACTACCACCTTAGAATCACATTCAATTACCAACTTCTCCAAGTTCGATTCACTTGCAATTTGCATTCCCTGTAATATTGCAAACAACTCAGATCTATTAGAGTCTCCCACCCCCATCGGGCCTAGAAAGTGGCAATGATATGTCCTTCCTAATTCCTCAAAACTCCCCCTGGAGTTGGGGGAGGGACAGATGTACGCAACCTTACCCCCTGCACATAAGAGAGGCTATTTCCAAGATTTGAACCCTGGTCACCCAGGTTGCAATGGAGCAACCCAACCATTATGGTCAGACTGTTTGACCCACAGGCATTCAAACCGTTTGACCCATGGCCCTGCATACATTCTAGTTTTGTGTCCAATATGAGTCTTACAACATTGTAAGAAACCTATCAAGCTTACAACAAACCAGGTTTTTATCTTTCTTGTTCCTAGTCTGACCTTGTAGAGTGTGCATTCTGGAGAAAAATGTGTTTGGGTTGTATTAGAGTTGTTCATGGGCCGGGTAGCCCGATGGCCAGCCTGGCCTAGCACGATCTAAGTTGGGCTTGGACAGGATTTCAGGCCCCCGGGCTCGGGCTCAGGCTCAGGCCTAAAACACCGGGCCCGACCTTTTTTTAAGCCAGGCTCAGGCTTTCTCAAAAAAGCCGAGCCAGAGCCCGACTTGATAATGTAGTATATAATAAAAATATATTTTATATAGTAAATATTCATATATATAATATTTTTTCGTTATTATTCTTCTCTTTTTTCAAGTAAATAGTGAGATCTTTCATTATTTTTTAGGTTTTGAGGTCTTCTAATATAAATAACAGTTTTTATAGAATAAAAAAGAAAAAAAATCTTTTTCCAATTTTCTAGTTGGGCCTGGACTTCGGGCTTGGTCTCGAGACCTAGGCCCGATAGTCGGGCCGGACTCGGGCTTGAGTATATTTTGTTAATATAGAGACAAAGCCCAGCCCAAACCTGGCCTGACCCGGTCCATGAACAGGTCTAGGTTGTATCTATCTCCAAACCTAAACTAAAATTCCTGAAACCCTTGACAAGTCTTTTCCCACCTTTGTTTATAAAATTTCACAAAACCTCCAAAGTGGGCTTCTGCCAGGCTGGACATTTGGACATTTGGACACTTGTACACCACTCAGCACCAAAAGAAAATCATCTGCCACTGCTCAACATAGCAATTGTTCAATTCCAAATTATTTGCCAACCCCAACACCAGAAATAGAGACCCAAAGCCCCTAACACCTTTTTTTCTGAAAAGGTAATGTACAATGTGAGTGTAGAAAAAGAACTTTCACAGCAAGGCTTTAGTTAGTCACAAATAATTTTCAGAAGAAAATAATTGTAGGATGTTTTCTCCTGAACTATTTGTAGACTACCAACCAAGAATATAGCATACAACACATCTTTTTTGCCACCATCTCTTCCAAACAAACTTTGTTTTAGAAAATGCTTATATTTCTTTGACCGCAGAGCACCTTTCCCAATTTCTTTGTATCCAGCTCTCTCTTTCTCTCCCAAATGATGAAGATCTGTGTCATTCTTATAATGGCATCCAACCAATTTCCTCTACTTGTCACTGTCTGACCCCCATGTGCTCCAAACTGATCTAGATTACCAAGGGATTCCCCAAACTTTGCTTTAAATAAAAT